AGTAGCAATGGCTTTAGCAGTAACCATAGCAGCATCGGTGGCAGTAGTAGTGGTAGTAGTAGTAGTAGTAGGAGCAGTAAAAGTAGTTGCATCCTTCAACTTTCAAGTTCACAACACAAAACCCCAAAGGCATGAAATCCGCCACCCCGATGGTTCACCTGTTCACGTCGGTCCCGAGTTCCCTCTAACCAAATCTGCCTTCCAAACTCCGCAACCCCTCCCGGCCCAAGACTGTGAGCTCCTTCAGACAAGTCTGCCGCCAAGGAACGAATTGCTCCTGCCACTCCTCACTTGTTCACCATCCTCCATAGCAAACATAACCCAGCCCGAAACCCGATACCTTTAAGCCCTAATCCTTAAAGCCCTGAACATCATGGCTTGTGGCTTCAGCCCTGTGTGGGTCTCAGAGGTGCAAGAGCGAGAGTTTGCTTCGTTGCAGACGATGGGACCTTATCTTCCAAGACTGTTGTTGTCGTTGGGGTTTAGGGTTTAAGGCGCTTGTGCTTATGGTTTAGGGTTTAGGGTTCCGCTCTGAAGTTGGAGTGGCAAGCAAGTTCTCTTCCAGCCGGGGCAACAAGTGAATTACCTGCTTACCTTGAGAATACTGTGCTGAACACTGCAGTGGGTGCACGCAGAGGGGCTGAAGTGGAATGCCATCTTATTTCCCTCCTTGCTTCGGCTCTAAGAAGCTGTTCTGCTGCTTGCACTTCATGCAGATTGACCCCGATTAAGCTGTAAGATATTGATTCCGCACGGTATGCAAAACCGTGCTGGTCTCGGTTTTGTCAAAAGGGTCCCATTCAACGTGGGCTCGACCGAAGACCCTGTTCTGGCGGCATGGTGTACTGCCCGTCCGACCCTACAGTAAAATCCTGAACATTCCTCGGCATTGTGCTTTGACTGACGTTCTGCTAATTTGGATTTCATGATGCTTCCTACAACTCTACATGCCTTTGTGCTTGCAATAACCGACAACAAGGGCAGTCTCACCTGCTTTTTGTCTTCGCTGATCCTTCTGGTGCTGTTTCTGTCCTTGTTGCATTTGACATTGCAACTACCAGTGCTTTCGTTTGCCGGTGCAGTTTGGCGGCTAGCCGATGCTGCATCTGTTCTCGCTATTCGGACTTCTCGTGTCGTAACATCAGTATCAACAAGTATTGCCAAATTGTGCTTGATGTTTTCAACACTGCCCGTCCTTTCGAAGCACCGCTGTTGGTCGTGAGCAATGTATTCTGGAGATGATGATGCCCAGGAATATGTCTTTGCATGTGACTGCTCACAACTACCACAATGACAATCAGAGTGATATCCGTGCTCAGCATGGCATGGCCATGCAAATGACCATGAGATTGATCAATTAACTTGCTTCTCAAGAAGGTTTGCTGTCCTCTTGACAATCAGCTTGCCGAGCTCCATGAAAACTCCTCAACTTACCTCTTCCCTTATACCAGGGTTAAGAGTTATTTCATGGGCTTGGGGCTTCGCGTTCATCTGGACCGTGGCTGTCTGGATTGCTGGACACTCGCTCTGAAAACACAAATCAAATCGCCGGTAATGTGTTTGTGCAAGTAGCATTATTTCCCAAGACGTCAAGCAGGTATCCAGGATGTGACCCGAGAATGTTGAATGACGCTTGAGCCACTCGGGCTGGTGCCGGACCACATATCACTTTTTAAGTCTGCACAACCACTCATTCAGTCTTTGGCCACTCCATAAATCTACGGGCACGAATGCTTCAAACAGCAGAACCGGTGAGAAATGCAGGGCGCGTGAACGTTCTGCCTTCATGAAAATGAACATGGTTGGAAATCTAAAAACGTGTAACCCACTGCCTCTGCAAACATGAACACAAACATAGCACCATCTACGACTTCGACACCAGAAGCTGAACTGAAAACAAAAGCAACTGGTTGACAATTCCGATTGCAACCATGCGATGGTGTCAACAAGCCAACATGAGCTCAACCAGGATCGGTGTCGAACTAATTAACTCATGGCTGTTGCTTTCAGCTTGCGCTTTCTCACCAAATGCTGTCGTCCATCTTGAACCTTTGATTAGATTCTTGTGAAAAGCGGCTGTCAGCCGGCTAGTGCCTTACACCGACACGTTAGCAGCTCTGTCCAGGCACTCGAGGCATTGGTAGCAACAGAAGTTCTACAGCACAGCTTCGCTCAGCTCAGAAAGACTGACAACTGGCTTTACGGGCAATGAACGTTCTCAGACGGCCTCCATGTCCAAATTTCTCACCAGCATCCTGGAACTCAATTATTGGCAAAGTTGATCTATCTCGCAGTCGGCACAAAACTTCTTTTTGTTTTTGGTTTGTCTGGATTCTGACAAGATTGCTTTTTTTGACCGTGCTTTGAACAACGTTGCAACATGAACGTGCCTTCAAACACTCACTTCGGGTTTATTGAGACAAGCGCGTCAACCGAACGGACATTCAAAAGAGAAAGCTGAGCACCTGCGACACTGAAAAATTTAAAAGCTACAATTCCTCGCGATCGACTGTCACACTACGCTTGTCACGCATCGCGGCAACAAAACGAACTGAAACCAGTTTAAGCTTCAACCATTTCCGCCAACCACGCTCGAAGACGGGCTGGTCCCGGAGGGGGGAGTTAGAACCCAGGTTGAACCTGGGTTCCAAACTGTTTCTTTCTTGAAGGGCAGATTCGGAAACCTGGGTTGAACCTGGGTTCCAGAACCTGGGTTTCGAAACCCAGGTTTCAACAACTATTTTGGAGACGAAGTTGTTCAAACCCAGGTTCGAACCTGGGTTCGGAACTCAGGTTGGAGCCCAGGTTTAATGTGGGTGAAACCTGGGTTTTGACGAACTCTGGGTTAAGTCTAGGTTTCAAAGCTAGGTTTGGATTTCTACTTTGATTCGAAAGGCTCAAGGTGAGACGTAGCAGCCCCGTCGCAAGACATTCGGTTGCTTTTTCTGCTTGTGCCTTGATTTTCGTGTCGACTGGTTCATTTCTTCCAGATTTACGTGAAAACTCGGACCATGGCCACAGAACCTGCAGCCACCATGGCTGCTGAGCAGACGGCAGCGCAGCCCGTTGCGCCGGCGCCGGTTGAGACTCCCACCCAGCAGCAAACGGCTCCCGCACAAACTGTTATGCCATAATGCCTGCTCCCGGTATCCCTGTGAAAGCTCCGCCTCCGGAATCGGTCAAGCAAGAGCAGCCACATGCTCCCGGCATTAGCCGGATTATCAACTTGACGCCAGACTCACAAGTGGCTCGATTTACCAATGGTATTATTCACCTCAGGCAGGGTAAAGAGCCCGAAGCCATCTCCAGTACTTTATACGATGCGTCGGTCTCCAACCTTCAGGCCCAGTTGCAACCAGCAGGGGTCTCCGCAATGTCAGGTATCACTGGTTTGGCAAGCACTTTCCAGGGAAGCTCCCCAGCAACGGACCCCGACCCCATAGAATACCCGAACTTCCGTGAAGCTCTCCAGAACTCACCAGAACTCCTTAGAGCATATAACACAGTGCGCAACCCAAGGAAGATGGCCCGCCTTGACCCTACCACGAACTCTTTTTCCCCAACCACCAACATTAGAGATCACAGGACAGCGCCCTGCGACACAGGGCTTCAGAGAGCTGCAATTCGTCTTTGTCGCGGATACTCATGCGCGAGCCCTCATCTAAGATCAACTCCTTCCCCGGCTTCTCACGATTTACCTCCATGGCCCTGGTCAGGAACCTGTGAGGCTCCAGGTAGGAGAGGCAATCCTGATCAACGATCTGGGCAACATAAGTGTAATTGCTGAAGGCGTTTTCCAAAGGACCCGTCAAGCTGAGACCGATGAGCCTTTTACGCTGATCGGCCAGGCGATTTGCTCGCTCGGCAGGGGCCAACTCCGCCTTCCGATCACCCTCACCCTCGATCGAGCTCTTGAGCGGGGCAATGGACAAGGTTTGAGCTTCAAACATGAGGCGCCGCAACGCCGACAGTGCACGCAGTGGCACAGTCGTAGGATCCGTGGGATCAAGGATGGACCTGAGCTCAGCTTCCTGCGGCACTTTGCCCGGAGTCGAAACACTGAAGGCAAGGAGCGACAAAGAAGTCAGCCCCTTACGCACAAGCACATCGAGTTCAGCTTGCGCCAGTCCGCATTCTTTGGCCCTCTCCTCAAAAGCCGCTTGACTCTTCAAGATGGAAGCCATGACACAAAATCGGATCCTACACGCACAGACCTAGCAATGAGCGCAGTGTGCATGGTCATAGCATCGAATCACATCCAGACTCCCGCAAGGTAATCACCAACGTGCCAGGACACATGATCCCGCAAGATGTCTGAGCCGTCCTGCATGTAATCAACAAAGACAGTCCCGCATGCACTCAGCAAAACATTCACTGCAGTCAATCGAGGAACTCTGGGCCTCTAGGCTCGAGGGGTCTGACTCCTGCATCACACAAAGCAGACTTTTACGCGGACCTCGGAATCTTCTTCAAGCGCTCGTCAAGACAGTGCACCAAGGACCCTAAATTTTACCTAAATCCCTGATGGGCTTTCCCTTCCAGCATTGCTTGCAGCGCCAATGCGCTGCTTGAACCGCCGACGTGAACGGCTTGTGGTTCGCCGTGATGTCACGACCCCATATAAAACGCTCCGTGGAGCTTCCCGCAGGCTTGAGATGAAGAGTCCTCGTGCTCTTCTGCTGATAGACCGGGCACCGATCATGGTACCTCTGCCCCACTTGGGGATCTGCCTGACTCGCGGTCAGGACTTCATCTATCTCGCTGTCAGACGAGCCTGAATCCGAACTAGACTCGCTAGACGAAGAGGATCCTGACACATCACCTTGGGACCCATCGTCCTCGAGGGCAGCATCGGGGTCCTCCCAGGCAGCTCGTTCCGCGCTATGAATCAAGGAGTCCACAGCACGACCAAAAGGGGTGTCGTCGTCACTGGCATCCTTTTGATCGCCGAAAGCCGGCTCGAAGGCAGGAGCACTCACACTACGAAGGGCTTCTGATTCTCACGCTGAGCCAGGGCTGACTGCCGGCCGATACCAGTTTCTTTCAGCCTCAGTCTCAAACACACTGTCACCAAGTAGCTCCTCGCCCGTTTCAGCAGCGCCAGGGCCCTTTGCATAAAGACCCGACCGTGCCATATCCGGAAGGTACCGGCCACACCGAATGTCACAGTACATTTGACACAGCTCCCGTAACGGTTCCGCCTGAATGTCCCTGGAGTATGTAACGACCGATCGTCGATCCTTCAAGGAATGATGTCCCAAGATTGCGCAAGTGTCCTTGGACATGTCCGTCTTGCTTGCCCACGAGAGGGCAGTATGCTTGCACGAGTGGCCTTTGAGGTCAACCCCCATGCTCGCATCTCCAGACTTAAGGATCGATGAAATCCAGGACACAAACCTGCCCGTCGGAATCCGACGACCGCTCCAAGATCCATTAAGCATAGGTGATTGTAGCAGAGGCAAGCTAGAAGAGCCAGTGGCGACCGGATGGCCCGAAGCACGCCACACTTCAACCCAAGCCTTAGCCCAAAGACCTTGACCCACGCCCCGCTCAGGCGCCACGAGGCTCAACTCGAGCCCCAACGGGTTGCCTGTCGATGCACACTTGTGAGAGGTCGAGATGCACTCAAGGAAACCTTCGCCGTCTGCAAAATCGAGGATCATCAGCTTGACCGCCCTCACATCCCCTATCCGGGCTCTCGAGTGAATGCAAAACAGACAAGCACCTGCAGCATACCTGTCCCTCACATCACGGCGGCCGTCCTGAACGAAGGCTTCAAGGTATGCCACCTCACGAACCTGGAAAGGCCTTGCTTGCACACGAGCCGGGTGGTTGAACCGCACCTTGCGAAGGCGCCCTTGCACGACCGGGCGCTTATGAGGGTCACCAATTGCATCCACTCCCAGAATGAATCTAGCAAAGTTGCAGGCTTCGATGCAAGATCCAAATACAGAGTGCGAGGCACCGCTCTGCAGAAGATGCTGGGTGTACTCGATCAGCACCTGAGAGTCGATCGGAAAGGCCGACATGCCTTGGTTTGAGCACCATCCCGCTAGGCGGGTGAGACTGGACAACCGCTTCTTCAAAGTCGAGATAGCCTTGCCACCCAAGGATTCTGCAACAAGACTGACCTGATCGGCCTCGCATTTGTCCTTCAACAGTCTGCCAAGGGAGGAGCACTCGTATGCGTGGCTCAAGAGAACATTATACCTGGCTGCAAGCAACTGCAACTGCTGCTCCTCGGTTTCCTGAGGCTTCTGAAACTTCCTGGCGGAGAAAGCGACCTGCACAAACTGCGAATTCAGCCTCTTGAGGATGGGCCTTGGCAGCCGCCTCCTCGAAAGAAGCGGAATCTAAGACGAGTATGGTCCCTGTGGGGCGCGCCCTACGCGCTTCGCGCGCTTCGCGCCTCTCGCGCGCCTCCGCGCGCCTCCGCGCGCTTCGCGCCTCTCGCGCGCCTCCACGCGCTTCGCGCGCTTCGCGCCGCTTCGCGCCTCTCGCGCGCCTCCACGCGCCTCCGCGCGCCTTCGCGCCTCTCGCGCGCCTCCACGCGCCTTCGCGCGCTTCGCGCGCCTCTCGCGCGCCTCCGCGCGCCTTCGCGCGCTTCGCGCGGCTTAGCGCCTCTCGCGCGCCTCCTGCGCGCCTCCTGCGCGCCTCCGCGCGCCTCCGCGCGCCTCCGAGCGCTTCGCGCGCTGCGCGCCTCTCGCGGCTTTCGCGCGCTTCGCGTGCCTCTCGTGCGTCTCTCGCACGCTTCGCGCCCTTCGCGCTCTTCGCGGCCTTCGCGCGGCTTTTACAACAACAACAACAACAACAACAACAACAACAACAACAACAACAACAACAACAACAACAACAACAACAACAATTTTATTGGACGCTGAGCGAGCGGGCTCTGCTCATTGCGGGCGAGCAGAAACTTCGGAAGCGTGCCATCCCCGAGTGTGCCGTGAGCCAGCGCCACCGAGGTGAGCCATAAGCCAGCACCACTCCCTTAGAATCTGACCTGCCGACATTCTTATAGAGGTTACGCGGTCTTCGCCCGGCGGCCTTGTAAAGAAAAAGAAACAGACTGGCGCTTTGCGCGAGGGGACTGCCCATGCGAGAATCGCAGGTACCTCCTTCATCCGTTTCTGAGAACTACGACCGAAGTCAGGCCCCGAGGCCTCGCGTAAAACAAGCCAAAACGAACTGACCTAACAAAACCAACAGAGAAGACCGCGCAACCCCTATAGGATCCTCAGTGAAGGAAAAAGAGGAGCCGATGCTACAAACGTTAAAAGAGAAAGGGCCTAAGTCAAGAAGAGCAGCGCTGCAGACTGTACACAGCAGCAACAGCTCTTGGGCACCAGCCTCTAGGGGATAGGCCACAAGAAGTTGACTTCAGTTACAAAGGCGTTGCCCGTTTTTTACGCGAGCGATGCCCGAAACTCCTAACGTGACAGCCCGACTCACAAAGTCGTCGTCATGTAGCCTCCGTCACCCTCAGTGTGAGTCATTGCGTCCAATACTCACGAACTGGCAGCCGGTGGGTCGTACTCAGAAGAGCCGTCTCCCAGAGTTCCCGTCTAGTGGCGTCCCACACTAGGTAACTCCCGACTACCAGCGATGGGCCGTAAGGATAATTCGTCGTCAAGCAAAAACACGTGGGCCGTCACTCCTAGCACTGCCTGACCCCGTCGGTAACAGGACAGTAACGAACACACCTGGGAGGGCCGTAGCCGTAGCCCGACACCCATAGCACAGCAAGCGCGTCCGCTTAACGACTGTACCCAGATGTGACGTGGAGCCGTACCAGGTAGACACCGTGCTGGAACTGAAGACGTTGGCCAACTCTGCTGAACCTGAGTCCCCAGTGTCCCAATCTGCGCCTTGTCTTGTAGACAAGTCTGGCCCGGCGGCCCCCGAGAGGCCTCCCCCTCCAAAGAGGATAGCCCCTAGTGATAGCCCCTCTAGGCCCACAAGGGCACCCCATAGCAAGAGGAGTCCCTGGAATGCCCGTCGGGGCCAGCATTGGGAGGATGCTGACGCGTTGTGAGTCACCACGTTGCGCCTAGCCTGTCCTGAGTCTGACTTGCTCCCAGGCGCTGGCGGCTGAACAGAAATGAAGCGCAGAAAACACTCAACCGTGACGAAGAACTCTCGATCGCACTGGCTTCGTAGCAGCTGGTGGCAGTCCACTGTGCCGTTGAAGGAAAAACTAGTGCTCGAAGAAGACTGCATGAGAATACCAGACGATCCGTGTCCTTCTTGCGGAGGTGTACCAGTTAAAGCGCAAAACCAGAGCGCCAGCAAAACTGCGCAGGAGAGACCGTGAGCTGTACCTGGGTGTCTTGTCGTGTAGCTGGAAAGTCGAAGAGAGGAGCGAAACGAGGCCTCAACTCGAAAGCTTCCTTCAGGATACCCAGGTGCAGAAGATGGCCAACCCATGACTGGGGCCGCCCCTTGAATGGCTTGGTGCGGCAGGTCCTTTTGTAAATGTAAAAGCATCGGCAGGAGAAAAGTACTGAGGCACAGTCGACGCGCCTTCCGCTAGTTTCACCGGAAAGAGAGAACTCGATCCGACTCCCTTCACCCCGCGGAAAGGTGAGAACCCTACCGCTTACCTCTTGCCAAGGTTGTATAACTGCAGACAGAGGCCCGGGAATTGGGACCCGGTAGAACACAGCGGCGCGCGGCTCCGGGAATAGCTATGGCTCAATAAGAGGACAGTCCCTTAAGCTTCGCAGAAGGGGGCCGTCGCGAGCCTCTAGCGTTGGTACCCAGAGCCTTGTTAGCAATGCTACACAGCCTGCTGTGATCCATAGCGGCTACAACAACAACTACTACTACTACTACTACTACTACTACTACTACTACGACAACGACAGCGACAGCGACTACGACACGACTACGACTACGACTACTACGACTACTACGACTACTACGACTACTACGACTACTACGACTACTACTACTACTACTACTACTACTACTACTACTACTACTACTACTACTACTACTACTACTACTACACTACTACTGCTCCTACTACTACTACTACTACTGCTACTACTACTACTACTACGACTGCTACTACTACTGCTGCTGCTGCTACTACTACGACGACTACTACTACCACTACTATTACTACTACTGCTACTAAAACTAGGTACGCACGCTTTTCGGCGCCGCGTAAGGTATATCAATTGTGTTTGGAAGGTTGTCGAGCACACATGAGGATGGAAGTGGTGAAAATGCTGGCAGGCGCAGCAAAATCGTCTGTTGCAACAGAAGTGTCCGCATTTGTTAAAGAACGGGCTTCACTAAGGGTTCCTACCCACAAAGACTGTCGGACACTTTTGTTCCTGGGCACGGTGTGTCCTGGGGTCTCGAGCCTGCACGTCGCGTGTGCGTGACGGCTGTTCCTGTACATTAACTGTACTGCACTAGCTGTGTTACTGTTCCTGGCAGAATGTTTAACACCCCGCCTTCGGAGTTAGCGAAAGTTCCTCGACTGAGGTGACTCCGACTTTTCCTTTGACAAACAGTAAACACGCTGCAGTTCCTTTTCACATGCAAAACAAACACTGTTCCTCATCGCAAACGTATGCGCACGTTCACTCGCAATCCTCTCCAAGGTTGCTCGACTGTACAAAAGACGTTCCTACACTTTACCTAGATCACCACAGAAACAAAAAGGGCTGTGCCACGGTTCCTGTGTCCTGCTGCTTCTTTCCTCGGCTCTCTGGCCTCAGTACTGCTCGCGGTTCCCTTTGCTTCACTGGAAGTTCACTTTGCCTTCCTCTTCGCTGTCTTTAGCTTCCTCTTGGTCGTGAAGCTGTTCCTTTAGCCACTCTTCTTTCATCTTTGCTTGCGCTTTGCACTTTTCCTTTCCTTGCTTGTCCTTTGACGCTGCTTTCCAACCTGTTTCCTTTGATCCTGAATACCAGTACCACTGTGTCTTGGCTTCGTTCCACTTCCACTGGTATTTCCTGTTCTGGAAACTGTAGACTGCAAACCAGTTTCCTTCAAACTCTCCTTTTCCTTTTCCTTTCATGAACGATGCTTCGTTCACTGGTCCTTTGGCGGACAGTTCTGGGTCGTCCTTGTCTTCTTCCTTCTGCTTGTGCTGTGTGACGTTCGGTGGCTCCTTTCCTGTTGCTTTTCCTGTTCCTTTTGCTTCTGGCTTCTCCTCTTCCTTTGCTGGTGTTGTGTCTGGTTCTGTGGGTGCCTGCGACCCGGCTGCTGATCCTCTGCTCTCAAGCTCCTGTGTAAGGCTTGCAATCCTTTCTTTATCCTCTTTGCGTTCCTTCATCATCTCCTTCATCATTTCTTCAAGCTTCTGGATCCTGTCTCCTTCACCTGATCCTGTTGCTGTTGTTGCTGCTGCCTTCTTTTCTGCTTCCTTCTTGGCAATGTACGCTGACGCTGCCTTTTGATCTTCCTCTCTTTTCTTCCTGGCTTCCTTCTCCTTTCTTTTCTTCTCCTGCTCCTTTCTTTCCTTTTCCTCTTTGGCTGCTGCGGCTGCTGCTTTCTCCTCTGCCTCCTTTGCTGCTGCCGCTTCGGTCTCCTCCTTTTCCTTTGCTTCTCTCTCTGCTTTGGCTTTGGCTGCTGCTTCTACCTCTCGCCTTCTCTCGGCGGCTGCGGCTGCTTCCTGCCTTGCTGCTTCCTTGTCTCTCTTCTCCTGCTCGTCTGCTGCCGCTTCCAGAATCAACCTTGCTTTGGCAATCTGCTCCTCTTTTGCCTTCTTCTCCTCTTCTGCTTTTGCTTTTGCTTCTCTTTGTTCCTTTGAGATCCTGTCCTGTTCTTCCCAGTACTTGCGATCATCTTCATCTCGAGGTCGAAATCCTGTGCTTTCTGCTCTTGCCTTTGGCTTTCCTTTTCCTTTTCCTTCCTTCTTTCCTTTTGTTCCCTTCTCGTGCTTGTACGTGTAGTCCTTGTCGACCCACTGCTTTTCTCCTGTAACTCTGTGTTGCCTGTAGATCTCGCCGTTCTCGGAGTATTCCTTCCATTCGCTGGCGTAGTCGTAGGGGTACGGAAAGAGCTTCTTCTCCTCTTCCTTTTCCTTGAGCCTTTGCTTGCTTTTGGCGTTGATCTCCGCGATCTTCTTCTTTCTTCTCTCTTCCTTTGCTTCCTCACTTTCTTCTTCCTCTGCTGCTGCTGCTGTTCCTTCATCGGGGTACTCCCCGGGATCTTCTCCTCCACGTAGCTGCTGACGTAGGCCTCGTTCTCGTTCTCGTTGTCCTGCTCTCGTTCCTGGATGCCCTCGAAGTAGCCTCGGTCCGAATATTCCTTTCCTTTCCTGGGACGTAGGTGACGTAGCTCTCGACGGTGCTGTTCCTTGTCCGTGTCCTTCACGACGTAGTTCACCTTCTAGTTCTCGGTCCTTGGCTTCTCTTTTCCTTTGTTCTTCTTCGTCTTCTTCCTCTTCTTCTTGTTCCTCTTGCTGCTGCTCGTAGAAGTCCTGCATCATCTGGTTCAGCTGTTCCTTTACGGCGTCACATGTACCTAGGACGAAGGCCATGTGTTCCTTGACCTGTTGCCGGTCTCTGTCGTTCTGTTCGGCCATTTCCTGAACCTGGTGCTTGACGTCGTAGATTTGTCCTGTCAAGGAC